TTTTTTTGTAACCACATTTGACATAGATAAAAGTAGGCAAAACTTAAGGCGATGGGATCGAGACAAAATGAGAGAAACGTAAGAAAGCATGCTTCATGACTCAATATATTTGTCAGTTTTTTTTTTTTTTTTTTTTCTCATTTTTAACTTTATCTTACTTGAAATGTTCATACACTGTGCAGGAATAGCATGCCTCTCTTGACATACCAAAAATACAAGAATATATAAGACATAAACATTGATGGAAACAAAACCAAACAAACATGGCAAAAATGATGTGCAAACTGCATATGTAAAGCTAAAACCTTGGACTAGAACAAAGTGTTATTCATTAAACACTTATTATTTATATAACTAAATTTAGGAATTAATGTTTCTCATGTTGTAGAAGATAATTTTATTTCCTACACATACATGAAAGTATGTGGGGGCCATGTGAAAAGAAAAAAGAAAAAAGAAAAAATATGGGCCCCACACACTTATATATGTATAGTAGATAAAATTATCTCTTACAATATGAAAAACATTAATATCTTATATTTAACATGGTTCCACTTTTACACATTTTAGGGTTCGACAAGCACACTTGAAGAAATGGGCTTGTGGGCAAAGGGAGTTACAATTCTATAAGAGGTATATGGGCCCAACCAATCCTAACAGAAAGGTTTACCAAAAATAGGCTACCCAAATGGAAGGCATCAACAAATACTACAACGGTCGGACCCCAGCATACAGAATTAATTAAGTTCTAAATTTACATGAATGACTATTTGTCTTATGATGTACAAACTTGTATTAATATGAATAATTGATCTTATTACATAAAAGGTGGGAGATTTTGGAAGTAACAATTAAAGTCTTTTTTCCAAATCTTGGTGTAGAAAGTAGAAACTGTTGGTCCATCCAAATAACCAGTTAAACAAACACAGCAGCATCACACTCGGCAGCCATAAGTGGTGAATGAGCCACAACAGCTTAGAAATCAAAGGGCCAAAATGAGAGACTCAGTGTCTAATGGGAAATTAACTTAATTTTGCATTAGGTCATTTGTTTTATAGATGTTGTCTTAAGTCAGGAACTTCGGTTGTTGTTTTATGACCATTGGAAATAGCCAATTTAGTACTTTGGTATTGGTTATACCTCCAATTTCCAAATCTTTTATGTCATTTCTGTCATTGTTTGCTACTTGCTACTACGTACTGATTGCTTCTTATTTTTTTATTTTTTTTATTTTTTTGAGTGTACTCAAGGGTATCCCCACCTCCTTTGGGGGTGAGACTAATCACAACCGTGCATTGTCGGTCCCTTGCGGGGTAGCACTACCCAATCCGTTTTTTCCATACCCAGGGCTCGAACTCGAGACCACTGGTTAAGGGAACTCAGACACCTTCCATCTGAGCCAACAGGTTTGGGTGATTGCTTCTTAATTTAAATATCAAGAATGATGCACTTCCAGTTACACGAAGTATTGTTTTTGTATTTTCTACTAAGATACTGGATTTTTACAAATATATTCTTAGGTAAAAATATGTCCTCTCTGGAATAATAAGAATTTGAATATCAATGTTCCATACTATTGAGGTAATCTACTAATCATTTAACTTATGAAGAGAATACAAGGACGTAGTGTACCCTAGGGATTTCATAATTTATTAGCAGGTTAAATAATGAAGTCTTCAAATAAACCTTAACCAATCTGAGTCATATGAAGTCTTCAAATAAACCTAATTAACCAATCTGCAAAGCTCTTCTGATTTAAGGTAATTGGTCAGTTTGGATGAATTTTTTCTCTCTCCAAAAACTGCTTCTTCTTCTTTTTGAAAAAAAAGCACTTCTCACTTTATGTTCGTTTGGATATCTGCTTTAAAAAAAAACATAAGTCATAAAAGTTAAAAATTTATTTTTTTTAGAAGCTAAAAATTTTAACTTCTAAAAAAACCAAAAATCAAAGTTAAATATTTTTTTTCAAAAGCTAAATATTTTTATAAAAATATAAATAATTTTAACTTTTGTAAAAAGCACTTCTAAAATAAGGAAGAAATAACTTTTTCTAAAAGCCAAAACATAAGAAGATTTTGTAAGGTCTTTCGTAGTTCTTAATCAAGTTTGTAGAAGGTTTGTAGTGAACAGTTTGATAGTGAACAGTTTTAACAAAGAGCAGTTTGTAGAAGGTTTATCAAGCAATCGTCCCTTCAAATTTATACAAATATTTAATTTTAAGTATAATTTTTAATTTTTTATTCATATAATTAATTATACCCTAAAAAACTTTTATTCACTGTTAAATTTTTTTTATTTTGTTAATTATATAAATAATTAAAATTTCAAAGAAAAATTTACGCTATAATTCTACCTCTTTAAAAAAATTCTTGAGTAAAGTCCTTTTTGAGTCTTTGACAAAAAATATGATCCTCACTTTCGTTCTTTACCAAAAAAGTTCTCATATCAGTCCTTTTTTAGAATCTAAATTGAGGCTTCATTGCATTTATGAGAGACTACATTTTCAAAGAACTAGAATTGTAAATGAACGAAAAGTTGACTTTTTTTATAAGGGATAGAAGTAGGGAACGTGTTTTTTTTTTTTTTTTTGATAACATTATATCCTTCATTCACTCACAATTCTTGCTCGGTCTTTACTGGGTTGCTTTGCCGGTCTGAAAATCTGGTTTCTTGTTAATGATTGGGCTTTAATATTGCACCGATGGATATAATGTCTAAACTCCTAGGCTTAAGGATATAGACCATCCAATCAAGATGGGCTCAAACACAATATAACAAAAATCAATGACCCGGCCTGTTTCTTTCGCATGACCAACATCATGAATAATGAGTAACATAAACCCATGATCATTGGCACAAAATAAATTTGTATAAAATATGACAATACATAATTAAATAATAAAACAATTATAGAAAATAACTAACACATTAATTTAAGATTAATATATTTTAATATAGGGAGGGAGTATATTTTCTCCTGCAACAAGAGCTAATTTTTCTCTTGTTAGAGACACACAAATATTATGGGTCACACCATAGTTATCAAAATCGCGTTTTATATCGTAGGATCGTAAGATTCTACGATTTTTGACCCAAAAACGATCCAAATCGGATGTAAGATCGAGATGAAGTGGGAACTTATGAGATCGAAGTGGAAAATCGTAAAATCGGTGAGATCGTGCAATTCCACCGTTCTAGCATTTCAAAGAAAAAACAAATCCAAAAATCTAGCAACCAAACCAGCGACCCAGAATGGATTAAAAGGTTAAAAAACTAATTTCATAAAAGTAGAAACCCTATTTTTGTGATTTCCATTTCGTTTGAGATTTTCCTTTCGTTACCAATGTGTGACTGATATCTGCAATATGACCTTCTCTTACTTTCTGTAACTGCTGGTTCTTCGACTGGTTATGCATGTTCTGCGACCTTCAACGGATTTCATCTTTTGTTTGGCCATCTAATGGTAAAGTGGTTTTTCAAAAGTAGGTTATGTACTTTTATTTTTTTTTATTCTTTTATTCTTCCACCTCTTGGTTTATGTGGTCTAGATTTACCGTATTAGTTTTTGTTTTTTCATACTAATTCACGTTGTGTCAAAAATGCTGATTATTTTTTCATTTTTCAATACAAATTTTGACTTTCAATCATATTATCTTTCTTTTATTGGAATTGGAAGAGTATTTTTTTGTATAATTAATAATAATAATAAATCAAATTATTCTTTATAATTTGAAGTTTTTAATTAAATAATGATTTGGTTTAATGGTTATTGTATATATTTGAATTAATTATTGTTGTATAATTTGGATAATTATTATCATATATATGTATAAAATATACTTTTATATTCATGTTATTTTAATATTGTATATGTACATATACGATCTTACAATCCGTGTCGATCTTACGATTTACGATTTTTTTATCACCTTCCGATCTTATGTAAGATCTCGATCTTAACAACATTGGGTCACACTGTACAAGGAAAAAGTGGGGGGAAATTAAATGTCTCCCACACCTTTTTGAGTCATTTGGAAAGTCTTATTACCTCCGGTTGCATAAAATTTATATTTCCACGCTACCATGAAATAAACAAACAATAAGAATTATATCCGTTGTGCATATGGAATTAACAAGAAATTCATTTTTGTCTCTTTTCATGAAGTAATTGTTTGGTACGTTAATTTCTTTTCTCCTTATAAATATAAGTTTAATCAAATATAATTTTATTAGAGCTCTTATTATAGAAATAGTTTTTTTAATAATGAAAAAAAAGGTTAAAAGCTAAAGCTCTCTGGAGGAATTTTTTTAAAATGTATGTCAATTTTTTTGAGTCCTTATATTTATTTTATAGTTTACTTTTATTCTAAATTTGTATTTATAAACTTTATCTTTTACTTTAATAATTTATCATAATAATAAATTATTTTATTCTTCATCCTTTAAAATCATCATAACAATTTTATATAATTACTTAGCTTTATTTTTAAAGTCTTTTTTTATAACTTTAACTTAAAAAATTACTTGGAAACGAATCTTCTCATATTAAATAAAGCATGACACAGTCCACACCAAAAAAAAAAAAGCATCACACAGTTATGTGGCGAAATCACAATTATACAAAGGTAAATCAACGGTAATAATTATGTAACGACTAATTTTAATATTTTCTGTTTTTCTTTCTCATCATTATTAATCCACTTTTGTATGATTATAATTATCAAACGTAATTATATTATGATTTATTTGATCCATTCCCCAACCACCTCCACACACACAAGATAGATAGATAGCTTTCTTGACATGGCCCTGAATTCCGTGAGAGTCAGCCTCAGTGAAAAATTTAAACATCATTTCTTTAAAAATTGATTCTTTTAATTACCACTTATTCTCAAATCAATTTGACTCAAACCTAAATCAAAAGGCAAAAAATAATTAAACAAACACAAGGAAAACATATTGAAATTAAAAAAAGCTAGTTAACTAATTTAATTTCCGTAAACATTGCTTCAAAGTAAATATCATTTAGATTAATTAAGTTGGGATTAATTTTTTTCATGTTATATTATACATATTTTATATGTGAAACCCTTGTAGAGTCATATTAAAGAGAAATAAAAATAAAAATTATCTTATACATCGTTAAAAACACTAATCCAATAAGTTGTCGCAGAAGCATACCTGTACGAACTAAGAAGACGAGGATAAATTCTAGTATCATTTTCAGGCTATGAAGCAATGAAATCTTTGACTAGGTCATGAAGTTGCTTTTGCTTTATGGGATCACGAACCTCAGCGCCATGACAACCCCCTTCTACAAAACGACTCACCACTGCTACACCCTTCTCCTCCATCAGTCTCGCCAGTGCCATTTGATGGTCCACCAGTGGGTCCCCATCGCACCCTGTCACCACCACCCTCCACCCAAGCTGTCTCACCCTATCCAAAACCCTAGCTCCATCCCCAGCCCTTGGATTGCAATACTCATGATCACGGTCAACCCCAACGGGCAACGACAACTCCCACATCATGTCACTCACGTGCGGTGGCAGAACCAGATCGTTCTCCAGCCTTAGCTCCGAGGGTACCCTCTTGGTCCCACCAAAAAACGGTTGAGCCAATATCAGCCCTTTGATCTTAAGCGGATCCAGATAATAATGGTCAACCGCCGCAGCAGCACGTAGACCCGCGCGGTATGCGATGTTTGCTCCGGAACTAGTTCCCATGAGGTAACAATTTGAATAATCGGCATAGTTTGTCAACCAATCATTTGATTGGGCTTTGATCCAGTGCAGCGCTTCCACGGCATCGTCGTACGCAGCCGGCAATCGGTGTTCTGGAGCAAGACGGTATTCTACGGATACGACGATGGATCCGACGTCTTTTGCGAGGTTTACGCAGAGATCGTGAAAGAAATTTGAGGCTGCACTGAATAAAATGAAGCCGCCCCCATGGAAGTAAACGATGAGAGGGAGCTTGGTTGGGAAGGAGGAGGAATGATCGAGTGCTTTGCGGGGTAGGAATATGCGAGCAAAGGTGTTGTTTGATTGGTTGATGGGAGCGTCTTTGGTGAGAACGGGGATGGGAAGGTTGGGATCGGGTGAGGGTGAGGTGTGTGGGTCTTCGCGCAGGCGACTGAGGGTGCCGTCGGAGTTAAGAAAGATTTTGAGATGTTGAAAAGGATCAACGGCGTGAGGGGAGAGAGGTTGGCCTGACATAGTAGACTATAGCTTGATGCTGGTTCTCTGATGATTTGAGCGCTCATTAGTCATTACAATCGTTCTTCAAGTCAAGTCTACCCTTCCTTGACATTCGGGTCAATTACTTTAGAAAAAAAAAACAAGAGTAAATACTTTTTTTTTTTTTTGTCACTGACGAAAAATACGGTACCCATTTAGTTGAAATCGTGGTCCCTCACAAATTCAAAAAAGACCCATATTAGTCCCTCAAAAGGACTAAAATGGGTCCACTTTAAATTTGTTAGGGACTAACTGACTAATTTATTTTGTAAGGGACTAAAGTGGGGATCGTGTTTTTTGTTAGGGACCCAAAAGGGTATTTACTCAAAAAACAATTGTAAGGTAGTGTTTGTTTCGGGAGAAATTTTTTTTTACTAGGGAAATGTAATTAATAGGAAAATGGTTGGAAAGTGAGTTTGACAGGAAAATGTAAAAAAAATTGTTTGGTTGACCCAAATATTACCAGGAAAATTTATTTAAATATGTAAAATCTATATTCGGGAGAAACTTTGCACCTGTTTTTTCACTTCCCCAGTCATCTCATAATACCACATGTCAAGTGGTATTCTGTAACAGTGAATTTCATCCAAAAATCAACACAAAAGTCATTTTCCCATATATCCTATTTGTCTGGTATTTCTTGAAAAAACCTGAACCAAACGTGGTATTTTTTAATATTCACCTATACTTTCCCATCAATCCTAAAATAAACTTTCAACCAAACACTACCTAATTAATCTTCCGTGATTTTATCTTTTAGCTAAGAATCAATTAACTGCAGTCCTCGGAGAAAAGAAGCATGAAGTATGACATGTCAAACCTGCTACCAATCAGTGTCTCAAAACTTAATTATTGGACTAAATTATACAAATTCTTCAATCTTGGTTTTAGACTTTACAGTTTTAGTTTCAGGCATATAACACATGAAGAAAGTATATTCTAATTTATTGTTACAAAATATAAGGTAGTATTTAAATGTTGGCGTGAAAATGATATTTCTTAAGGATTTTTTTATTTATTATTATCCATAATCAAAATTAATAAAAATACTTTGATCATAAACGCAGATCATGAACATAATCCAAATACTGTAACATACTATTGTCTAGATATCTCATTAATGAAGACGTGTATCTTAACGTAGATCAATAACATATATAATCCAGATAATGTAACAAATCATTGTCTAGACAACTCATGATTGAAGACTTTTCACTAAATAATAGACTTTCTTGGACGTGGAAGGGTGAGCTACGAAAATCCCCAGCCGCTAGTTGCAGAGTGGGATTTCAATTTGAGTCTGGTTCAAAAATTATATGTGTATTTATTTTTTAAAATTTTAGTTTGTTTATATCATAATATATTTAAATTATATTAAATACAGAGTACCTGAGCAGGCAACACTAAGAAAAATTATAATTTTATTAAATATTTTTTTCTTTTTATACAATTCAGAATTTAAACACATAACCTAATATAACTTACTCAAATCTCTCATTAAATATATTTTAATTTTTAGATAGGGCCAAATTGCAAATTTTAGCCTAAGCCAAATTATTATTTTAACCTGGGCCAAATTATAATTAATTATATAATAAATATGATTTGTTAAAATTTAGCCTGGATCGAGGCCACCCCCAGGTACTATGTGGCTCTGCCCCCGTGATAAAATTGTCCCAACACATGCATACCCTTGTCCTCGAGCAGTTTCACCAACTGCATATTGGTCCACCAGTGGGTCTGCATCACAGCCAAACACAGCAAACCTCCATCCAAGCAACCTGATTTGATCCAAAACCTTAGCCCATCCATCACCGTTGGATTTGAATACTCGTGATCATGGTCAACGTCTATGGGCAATGATAGATTCCACAACAAATCAGAAACAGTCAGGCTATATTGCATCGACACAGGACACGATATGTCGATACATTAATTTTAAAAAATATTAGATTTTGACTTGTTAGGACACGTTTTGATATTAAATTATATTTTTAATATATATAATATAATTTATATTTAATACATATAACAACTCATAATAAGTCATATAATCAATAAAATATTCAAATTTTATAACATAAATATAAAGAAAAAATAATTTTTCATGTCTTATTAATTTCTAGGATCAAATTTCATAACATAAAATATTTGATTTATAAAATAATTTTCAAATCAAGGGTACCAGGGGAGTTGAATGGAGAAATGGGAGGAAGGGGACCGATTTTATATTGGTGGGACCTGCACAGTTGCGTTGAACTGTGCAGCATCTTTGCTGGTTCTCTAACACGTGGCTAGCAAGCGTTGAGTGACTGTACGATTGCCACGTAATACGTTGCGTAGTCTTGCGAGTTCAGCCACGTGTCATAATCTGCCACGTAATGCGCTATGCTGCATAGCATTTTTGGCCACGTGGACTGCAATCTCAGATTAAGCGAGCTGACACGTTGACTGACGTAAAGTGCTGGATTGTTCAGCGAGATTGTGACCTCAAATTTATTGCCACATGTCCATCCCTAACTCGCTAGGTGTTGTAGGCTTGTAGCGAGTTAGGTAACATGGCATTCCGAAAAATATTTTCTTGAGTGTGGCAGTTCAGTAATTTTTTCCCATAAAGGTGGCAAAAGTGTCGTTGTCCCGCACCTAAAGGGTTGTTGTCCCGCACTTGTGGCATTGTCAGTTGATAAAGCACATGAATTGACAAAACTAGGGTTAGCCGAAGGTTAATTTAGTTAGCTTCTTGACTTTAATTTTTCCATTTTTTCGAGAATCCTAGGGTTGTATTCTTGGATGGTATTTTCGTTGATATTTTGCTCACAAAACAATACCAAACATAATAAATAGGATTACCATTCCTATTCTCGGAATCTAAATGATGCACACAAGCTGACTGACTTGGATTGAGCGTTTTCTCGAATTTATTCCATAGTTTAGGGCTTTTCAATAATTATTAATTATTTCCCTTTTTGTTATTTTTAAATTATGTTTGAATGTGCGTTGATTGTGCATGATTATAGTTATTTAGTTTTTTGTTATTTTATTTTGCCTATTTAAGGCTTGGAGAACCCTATTATTATTTGGTTGTTTTTGGTTAAAAAAATTAAGAAAAGATAAAAGTGTTTTCTTGCAATTTTTGTTTCGTTCTTTCTTTCCGTTTAACCAATTGATTACTGCTTCAACATTATTTGGTAATCAGAGCTCTGGTTGTCACATAAATGGCTGAATAGAACAATGGCGATCGAGGTCGTGGACGACGAAGTTGAGGCGACGACGGTGGTAGAGAGCGTGGTAACACTTTTAACGGCGACGACAAACAACCACACATCGACATGCAAAACATCATAATTGTAGCAATGACTGCTACAATGGCAGAACAAGGTAGACGAATTCAGGAGCTTGAACAACTATTTGCCCAAACACAGTTGGACGAGTCATATGAAGGATAGGAATCTGAAAGATCATCTCATGAGAAGGAAAGGAGATTCTAGAACCGGAACCAGGAGCAGTATATGATAAGTATGATTGGGAGCAAAACGATGAGAATCCAGAGGTGAAAGAAATATCTTGTAGTGATTTCGGTGGAAAATCAGTTATTAGAAATTTTAATATCTCTGACAAAGATGAAGTTCTACCTAAAGATATCATGCAAAATGATCCTTCATTCAAGAAGTCTTTAGTTTGCATGCAATATTATGAATTCGGGGACAACGAGCATAACAACCTCATGCTCCATTGAGATAAAGTTTTAGCTTTTGGTAAAAGTTTAATTGGAGATCGTCAAAGGCAATGGTATTTCCTGGTACATCAGATAAAAATTTCCAATGACAGATCACAGATGCGATAATTGAACAAAATTGTAGGCAATGGTCCTTTTGGAATAGTTTATTTGTTTTGTCCACTTACTCCCTTAGAAGAACTCACAATATTTCTAGTTTCCAAGCAGTTTAATACAAATGCAGACGAGCGTATCAAGAAAGAATTGCATTCACAAGTCCTAATCTTAATTAGGGAATTTGGTGAGATTGTACCAGGAGAGTTGCCACCTGGGTTACCACCTGAAGAAGTTGATATCATCAGATTCGAGGGCGAATCTTTTCCTAGCGGGGGAAGATGATGCACCCGAGCTGACTGACTTTGATTGGGCTTTTTTAGAATTTATTCCATAGGTTAGGATTTTTCAATAATTGTTAATTTTTTTTTGTTATTTTTAGATTATGTTTGAGTGTGCGTTGATTGCGCATGATAATAGTTATTTACTTTTTTGTTATTTTATTTTGCCTATTTAAGGCTTGGAAAACCCTATTATTATTTAGTTATTTTTGGTTAAATAAAATTAAGAAAAAAGAAAAGTGTTTTCTCTCAATTCTTGTTTCGTTCTTTCTTCTTCAGCCCCGCCTACACTTTCTTCCACAATTTCATAGTTTTGGGGATTCTTGAATCGACTCATCATACGATATGCTTGTCATCACTCATCATACGATTGCGTGATGTCAAATTCATCTCTTCGTCCACGCTTGGGGAGGAGAGAGAAAGGGTGGGAGGTGTTAGGAGAGTGAAAGGTATAAAAGAGTTTATTTTATCCCACAAATTTTTATCGTTGGATGAGAAAAAAAAAAAAAAAAACAACGTGAGAGTTCGTTTCAAGGTTTCAGTTTTGACAGAAAAAGCAATATCATCAAAGTGCAAGTTCGAGTTCTAACTTTAAAACTCACAGCACTAAAATGTCATTATACATATATAAACTTTTTTCTCCTTCAAATTTAAAGGGAACGGTGGCCACCCTAGCCTCCTATTTCCGCATCCGGGCGTAATAACATGAAAATAATACATTAGAATTGGGCTCTATCCCTTCTATTTTTCTATCTTTTCCCAACAATTAGAGCCACGCTCTAACACAGCCAAACTGTTGGCGAGCCTCAACTCCGGTGGGGTCCTTTGGGTACCACAAAAAATGGTTGAAGTAATGTCAGCCCTTGGATCCACCAGCACTCTCTCTCATTAAATAATATTGGAAACGTCAGCGTGGCACGTCATCTAGCATAGGCATTGTTCAAGGTTTGATTGGTTGATGTTGAGGTCATCGTTTGGAGTTGGAATTATTGAGCGGACCTAACTTATAGTTGGGACTTGTGTGTACGCTGCTTATCTTGCTTGATTCTGCATCCAAACAGCTTCTTCTAGTGACCTTAGTTAAAAAATGTAGTGTGCGCGAAAATTTGAAACGAAATTATCATGAAATTTATACACTTGATTTTCTTCCTATAGTAGAGAGAAAAGGAAAAACTCTATAGTCAGTGCTTCCCGAGGAAAAACGTAGATTATGAACATAATCCAAAAATACTGTAACCAAGTATTGTCTAGATAATTTATCATTGAAGACTTGTAACTAAATCATAGACTTGATACAGATTTAAGAGATACAAAGAACCTAAACACGGATCAAGAACATAAACCAAATAATGTAACAACTTATTTTCTAGACTAGATAACTCATGAATAAAAACTTTTAACTAAATCAAAGACTTTCTCGGACATGGAAGGGTCACCGACAAAAATCCCATGTCGACCTCCACCATAAAATTGTCCCACCACATGCATACCCTTGTCCTCGAGCAGTTTCACCAACTCCTTACCACGGTCCAATAGTGGGTCCCCATCACAGCCAAACACGGCAAATCTCCATCCAAGCAACTTGATTTGATCCAAAACCTTAGCCCCTGCCGTCACCGTTGGATTGGAATACTCGTAATCCCGGTCAACGCCAATGGGCAATGACAGATTCCACATCAGATCAGTAATAGGCAGAGGTATAGTCGAATCGTCGGCATGCCTCAACTCTGATGGGGTTCTCTTGGTCCCACCAAAAAAGGGTTGAATTAATACGAGCCCTTGTATCTTCAGCGGTTTGATCTTATCAACTTCCGCTGCTGCACGTAGACCCGCGTTGTAGGCAATATTACCCCCAGCACTCTCCCCCATGAGATAACAACGGGAGTAATCAGCGTGACGTGTCAACCACAAATCTTTGGATCTTTTGATCCAGTGAAGGGCTTCTACGGAGTCTTCATAGGCCGCCGGCAGACGGTGCTCCGGGGCGAGACGGTAGTCGACTGAAACGACGACGGATTGGGTTTGGTTGGCCAAGTTGACGCAGAAATTGTGGAAGTAAGTAGAGGCGGCGCTGTAGAAGAGGAAGCCGCCACCATGGTAAAAGACAATGAGGGGTAATTTGAAGTGGGGAGGATTATCCAGTGCTTTGTGGGGTAGGTAGATTCGAGCCCAGGTGTGGTTTGATTGGTTGATGGTGAGGTCTTTAGAGAGAACGGGTGTGGAGAGTGTAGGATCGGGTGAGGGAGGGCTTTGTGGGGGTATTTCTAAGCGTGTGAGTGTGCCGTCTGGGTTGAGGATGATGTGGAGTGCCTTGTAGGGATCCATAGACGAGTTAACAACAAATAGAAGAAGATACAAGGAGAATGCACTAAACACTACGTGTAGGGACATTGCAAAGAGAAGAACTGTTATAGCTTGGAAACCAAAAGTTACAAATATAGGATGGCTGAAAGCTCACATATAAAGAGGGTCCAGTTTTTTTATAACAACATCATGATATTTCATCCCACTAATAAATATAGGGTTTTATTAATCTCTTTTTGGTATCTTATGTTGTAGAAAGAAACTGGGTGGATCTCACAATTACAAGAAAAAAAAAAAAGTAAGGTGCGAAAATCGAAGTGAGAGAAAATGAGATAAATTACCTCATGTAAAAGGAGAGTAATATTTCCCATAAATATATTATTAGTTAAGGAACGGAAACCTGGGACACTCTGATGCTTCGTGCAGGAAGTAAGGCATGGTTACTTTGGATTTGGAATATTGTCTCGACACAGCAAATAACAGCTGGCTAGTGGTTACTGGACAAAATCTCGGTTTCGTGTGATTCAAAATGAGTGGATCTAATCATTCACTAAAGTTCTCATTTTAAAATTTTACATGTGAAATTTTTATGTTTATTATTAATAATAATTAGATTATGTAAAATTTTAATATGAAAAAAATTCATCCTAACCTGAAATTATAAGAAAAGGAGTGTCTTCTTTTAAAACTCAGGTTGGTAATGTATAAAGTGTGAACATTTGAAAAGAAATTATCTTAGACACTATTGACTTGACTTTCTCGTGATTTGAGTCATATGAGTAGATTACATCGAGTCATGTGATTTTGAGTCCCAAAGAAGTTTAGTTGCATAAATGGTTCGAGGGTAGAATTGAATTGCATCCGCAAAATTAGGTGATCTGAACCTATTAATAGCCGAAACTGAAAATTAATGAAACAGACCATAACTAATTCAGTTAGCAGATAGAAAACAGTTAGACTTATTTTTTATTGGAATTGAATCCTCTCAAGTGTAAAAATAATCATGTGATCATATTATTTGATCATAATCGTTTATTGAAAAAGAAATATGAGAAAATTGTTAATAAACTCGGATCGACCCAGCTTAGTCGATCCGGAAACCAGTGAATCAGTCATATAACCGATTCAAATGAAGTAGCGGATCAGGTATGTATTGGACCCGATACGACTCCGCTGGTTTTGGTGAAAACCGATGACCTGATCGGTTCATAATCGACATATTTGAGTGATCTGTTACTTATTGACTTACATAGATTATGTACCTAATATACTAATATTATCTTAGTTATGCACTATGCAGAGAATTTTGATTTGATTTATAGTTAGGGATATCGTTTACTGAATCTGAAACACCAGTATCACAAGCATTATATGTTTGTTTGATTCTTTATTGGATCATAATGTGTAATTTATTATTTTTTATATTAAAATATTTACAATTTATATTATTTTTTTCTGCTATTTGAGTATGTTTATAATTTTTTTAATATAAATTAAAAATTTACATATAATCAATATGCTATGCAATTGAACCAGTAACCTGGTATCTTGATCGAATTAATGATTGGTTAATAACATTGTATGAGAGGATCCAAATTCATTTAAGGTACATGTTTGTTAGTTGATAGCATAATTGTATATATAAGTAATCACTTTTTTTTTGGTCAAAAAATAAGTAATAACTTTGTGAGTGGATACTCTCGTAAATTTTAATATAAAAGGATCTATTTCCTATAACTTTAGAATACAAAAGCATAAATATATGAAACATTTTGAGTAAAAAATTTTTTGAGTCCCTCACAAAAAATATTATCCCTATTTTCGTTCCTTACAAAAAAAGAGAGTTAACTTTCTGTCCTTCTACAATTCAAGTTCTTTGAAAATGTGGTTCTCAAAAATTCAGTGAAGATCCAATTCAGTTCCTAAAAAAGGACTAATATGGATAAAAAAATTTAGAGACGAAAGTGAGGGCTTTTTGACCCTTTTGCCCCTCATTAATTAATTAATAACCAATTTGCCCCTCCCCCAGAACTATCCACCATCCTGCCCCCTTTAGTCGATTAAGGTGAAGTTTTAGTCGACTACATTGCACAAACTCAGGAATTATGAACCCCGCGTTTTAATCGACTACTTATTTAGCTTGATCAATTAAATGTCTTGAAGGTTTAATCGACTACACCCATTATTTAGTCGACTACTTTTCGCGGATAACTCTATATGCAGCCATTTCTCGATCTCATTTCATAAATTTTCGTATTGTAACCCACTCTACCTCTTGTTTGTCATCTGTGATCCTTCCAAGTCCCCTTACTTGTCATCCCACCATCTCTAAAGACTTGATATTGTTAAATCATTGTCATTCCATCCACACTCTCATTTCTTGGCCCCAAAATCCCCAAAATCCGAACCCTACTACCAAATTCGTGTGAAATATGACCTCAAGTCCAAACATGTATGTTACAATGATTTACTATGATGGAAAGCATTATGAAGGCCCCAATAGTGTTCAATTTGAAGGAAAAACGAAAATGTTGAAAATCAAACGAGGCACTACTTACAATGAGCTGAAGGGGAGAATTCACCAAAAATTGGGGCTACAAGGCAGCCAATGCGTTCAGCGGATGATCGCCAGGGTAGAGTCTACAGTTGGTAAGGATGCTTTATTCTACATTGGTAACGATATATGTGACGATGAAGATGTGGAATGTGTCATAGATGCAATTGTTGACCGAAAATTTCAAAATTTTATTGAGATATAGGTTGAAATAGATCGTGGTCAATCTTCATCTGCACCCACGCATGAAAGAAGTCAGAGTCAAGAAGACAGAGTAGTCGGTTTATCTGCACTTGCATCGGTCTTAAGTCAGATAACACTGAGGGAAATAGACGAGAATAAGCACGATGAAGATATGGACAATGGTGACGACGGTGAACCTGAGAGTGTTATTCCGCTGGGTGACACCTCAGATACGGACGTTGAGGGAAATTTTGACGCTGACACAAACTTAGGAAATCTGAGTTCCCAGGTTATGCCACCACTTCGTGTTGACCCTGTTAGCAGTGGTAAGATAGTGAATTAAAGTTTTTAAAAGAATAATTCATATTTGTGTTATCATTCGTACTGACAGAAAACTCCTGTAATTTGGACGTAGGTTGTGAGATTGAGCCGTTTTGGAACGAAAACCCATATTATTCCTTCATTAATTGGGCTCACCCTAAAGATAAGACAGAGATATTGTATGGCGACGATGACTTCCACGGTGGCTGGCAATTAGAGGATCCATTATATTTGTATCAGGAGTTTCGTAGTAAATCAGAAATGCAACATGCAGTCAAATTATATTGTATGAAGGCTCACCGTACTGTTGTCGTGGCAAATAGTGACGAGCATAGATTTGTGATGAAGTGTCGGCAACATATTGATGGTTGTCCCTGGTACGTGCGGGCTATGTTGCCCAAGAATGGAAATACTTGGGTTGTTAGTAAGTGGGGTAAAGACCACACCTGCCTAAACCAAGGTCTTACCCGGGACCATATACAGCTGGATTCTGATGTTATCTGTGCAGCAATTATGAGTATGTAATACGCGATGGTTGGTTACATAAGTTATGTTTATCATATTTAATCTGATGTTTAGGGTTGACAATGTTGACTTTGATTTCTTTTATTATTTTCCTTTCTAGGTATGTTAAAAGAAAATCCATCTCTCAAACCAGTTCTTATTCAAGAAAGGGTTTAGCATTTGTATGGATACAACATAACTTACAGGAAGGCTTGGAAGGCTAAAATGAAGGCCATTGTCAAGTTATTTGGTGACTGGGATAAATCATATGCATTCTTGCCTGGTTGGCTGACATACATGGCACAAGTTAATGTGGGTTCTGTGTTCAAGATTGATATGGACCAATGCTTTGATGAACGTCGAGTCTACACCGATAAGGTTGTATTTCACAGGGTATTTTGGACATTTCACCAGTGCATTGAGGCATTTAAATATTGTAAACCCATAATTCAAATTGATGGCACGCACCTGTACGGTAAATACAAAGGTACCCTTTTGATTGCTACCTCACAGGATGGAGATGGATACATTCTGCCTATTGCATTTGCCATTGTTCCGCTGGGTGAGAGATTGGAAGATTGGTCATGGTTTCTTAGCCTAATGCGTTTTCATGTTACACATAGGCATGATATTTGTCTAATATCTGATCGTCACCCCAGCATCATCAGGGCTGTGAGGGATCGTGCCGGTTAGCAGCCTCCATTTGCGTATCACGTGTTTTGTCTTCGTCACATCGGAAGCAACTTTAACACTAAGTTTAGGGATGTGGAACTGAAGAAAACCTTGATGAAACTAGGTATCCAATTTCCTTAATGTGTACAAGTTGTATTAAATGCAAATTTATATATAACTCATTCAATTGTGTATTTTTTGGTAGGGTACCTGAGTTCGAAGATTCATTTTGATATCAGATTTCAGGAATTTGTCGACAGTAACCCAGAAGTATCCTCTTGCACTGCTTGATGCTCTCCGGCAAGTATACCGATCGCACAAGTAATATGGAAAGTAAGTAGAGTATCGTCTCCACAGGGATTGTAAACCAAGTACTACAATAACCAATCCCCTTAAGTTGGAAAACTCGGTTTGTTGTTTGGAAAAATTGTGAATTGATTTTGAGTAACAATAAGAAATAAAAGTAAAGACTTGTTTTTGAATTTTTATTTAAGAGAAATAAAACAATAACAATGAGAATTGATTTGAAAAATATGAGAAAAGCATTGTAGCTAGAGCGCACTCACCTTATGATCCTCACTTCTTACTTTGGATTGATTCACAATACTTATTCATATAATTACTCGGATAAATTATTATCTAAGAATATTTATTAGTCAACCCTCAATTCCTTGCAAGGTTAACCCTTTAATCCCCAATTAGAACCTCAATTCCTTGCAATGTTCCTTATGGTATTAAGCAATGGACGCAATAATTTAAGTATCCGCTATTAAATACACATCTATTCCTAGCATGCATACCAATTGTTATCCTACCCCCTTTCAAGATCAAAACCCCAATATTCCTATCTAGGGTTCTAACCCTCAAACTATTCTCAACTATCAGATTGATCAGTTCTAATAAAGAAAATAGAAAATACGCACAGGGTAGAGACAAAGATAATTATATAAATGAGTAAAACTAAATCAATCCATCGTAACAAGGGTTCACATAGGGCTCGTGACCCTAACTACAATAAAAATAACTAGCCAAGCATAATCATGGCTAAAAATCCAATATTCAATGGTAGCATAAAATTAAAGTTAAATAGATGAAGAAGAAGAACTGTGGAAGAATCCTCCTGAGCTCTGCCGTCGGCCTCCTTCTGAATGGAATGAGATATCTCCAGGGTTCTGTTAAGAGGATATATTTATAAGCTTCTTTTATTCTTCCAAAAATACCCTTCCGAAAACACGGTACTTCTTTCCCGTAAACCGGTGCCAGTTGGCGCCGTTGCGGCTCACGTTTGCGCGGAGTTACTGTCAAATTGTGAAAAACTGGAACCAATTGTACGTGAACTAGCGCAAGTTGGCGCCATCCTTCTTCTTTCTTGGTGCCACTTGGCGCCATTCCTCCTACTTTTTGGGCGCACAATGGCGCCATGAGGCCTTCACTTTGGGCGCCCTTTGGCGCCATGATGCCTTCACTTTAGCGCCACTTAGCATGAGCTTGGCGCTAAGTGGCGCCATTTCTCTGGACTTTGGCTTATGCAACATGGAACTTTGTTTGCTTTCTTTTAATTTGGCGCCGGTTGGCGCCATGCTTCTGGAACTTGTATTTTTCTGAACTCAAGTGTAATTGCGTCAACAGACTTTTTATAATTTTCACTTCTTTTTCTTGTAAAAACACAACCAATAAGTGAGAAATATTATTGAAAAGAAAGAATCAATATAATTAGCAAATATATATTTAAGTTGTTCTTTTATGACTCAATCTTTATCAATTTTAACACAGAAGAATCAATATAAAAACACTTGCTCTTTTAATAATGATAAAAATTAAAATTAAATCAGCTCTGATAATTAAACTAAAATTTGATAAATAAAAAATTAGCAATCAATCAAGATCAAAATATATCATAAATCTTATTCCTCAAAACAGTCAACTTCCTTAAATACGTGGATCATGCTTAATGAAGCATAAATTAATTGAGATCAAATTTCTCCAATCAACTTATTAAATACTTGATCATGTTTCTTGGTCAACTCTAAGTATATCAATTTTATTAATTTATTTATCAAGTGGTTGATGATTAATTGGTTCAAATTTAGCCATAATTAGACTGGCTTTTCTTTCGTTATTAGTTGTTAGAGATTTCCCTTTCTCAAAGACAAAATTATACATCATATAATTTTTAAATTATAATGTGTGCCTGCTTCCATTAAAAAAAAAATAACAATGGTTTACCAAAAATAAAATAAAATAATAACAATGAATTAAGAGAGTATTATAGCCATAGAATGCAATGAACGTGAAATCACTCTAACTGTAGGGGTGTTAACGAGCCGAGTCGAGCTTTGGTCTTAAAAGGTTAAGCCTGTGTTTAAACGTGTCAGCCTGACCAAGCCTGTTACCTGTTATGAATATAATTATCGGCCTATGTCCTGATTTATTTACAAAAAATAAAAAGCCTTGTTTAACATGTTGGTCTGTTTAAAAAATATAAGACAATAAAAATTTATCCAAACATAATCTACAGTCAACCGCATTAGTAATTTCATAAATTTAATGTATATCTAAATAACATAATATAGAACAAAATAATTTGTTTAACCAATAAAATAGGGTAAAATGGATTGAGGAGAGTGAGAGCTACTAAAAATTAATATATTAGGAATAAAAATTGGAGCATGAGTCCTTTTTATTAAACGAGTTTTAATACAAGTCCAAGCCTGTTTCCAACAACTAATTTTAGACATGTAAGCCCAGATCTTCACGAGCCGAGCCAAAGGCCCATGATTTGCTTAGCACCCCTGAATTTAAGGAATAAAAATGGACATGGCTAATTACATGTACCAACGCAATTAGCCCAAAATTTGCCCTGCGCTGGGAATAAAATGGGTCAAATACGTGCCTCAGATGCTTATGGAATTGTTTTAGTGGAAATGGGCCTTATACACTAATCTTCAACAATTAGGATCGGTTGTCCTTGTTAAAATATCAAACTCTCTCCCTTTATACTAAAGTAGAAACTAGAAACTCGGAGAGTCTTTTCATTTTCTCTTTGTTTTCCTTTCAAATGTGTAATTTTAATAAAAATATTATATATGAATTGTAACCTTGACCATTGGTAGATAGACATCTCTTTAGGAATGAGTCATACGGCCGTATAGACAGCTACAAAAATTAAATAGTAAAGGTGATCAAGACAAGCAAGATACATGCCTAATTGACAAACTTCACAAGTATAATAAATATCCATCTCATTTTCATAAACTGGAAGATGCATTATATATAAACTTCGAATACACACAAAAAAAATTATCTTATTTTAAGCCTATCATTATCACTTGGTGTTTTCAACTTGGATTGCATTGTTCCAATCTCTTCATAGTTTTCATCATTTTCTTGGTCTCCATTCTTGTAAACAATCTCCTTTTTTCTCTTCCCCACACCACCCATGAGCCACTCCGCCACCTCTTCCATGCTAGGCCTCTTCTCTGGGCTACTTTCTGTGCACCTTATAGCTATCATGATCACAGATTTCAATTGCTCCAAATCAAATCTCCCCTTCAACTTTGGATCTGCAATATGATTGAAGATACCCTTTTGGACATAAGGTGTGACCCACTGAACAATATCCCTTTTTACACCGCCAGAGAGTTTCTCAATTGGTTTCTTGGCACTGATAATCTCCAAAAGCAAAATCCCAAAGCTATAAACATCACAACTCTCAGAAACCTTCCCCCACATGGCATATTCTGGTGCCAAATATCCAAGGGTGCCTTTGACCCTTGTTGTAAGATGGCTTACACCTTCTGGTATCAGCTTTGCAAAACCAAAATCAGCAACCTTGGCTTGAAATTCAGAATCTAAAAGAACATTGCTTGCCTTTATGTCTCTATGAATGATATGAGGATTTGCCTCATGGTGCAAATACCTTAGCCAAACAGAAATACATCATAGATGACAAAGTTTAATAAGTTGAACAACGTAGTAACCTTAAATTATATATGAATGGAAAATTTCAAATAGAAGAAATTGAATATAGATCAGCAAAATTATGTTTAAATTTCTAGCGGGCAAGCAGCTAATAACTTTCTATAGAAGATTTTGAAGTTTTAATAGTTCAACAGATCATGATAAATTGATATCTTGTGTGTTGTTTTCATTGAGGAATTTTCAACCATAACATAAACTAGAGAGCATTGAAGGATAGGTGTGAATGTGCACTTACGCTAAACCTTCAGCTGCTCCAATTACTATGCTCATTCTTTTAGGCCAATCTAGCAAACAATCCGAAGCAAGTTGACCATGCAAATGGGTGAGCAAGCTGTGATTAGGCATGTAATCATAGACAATTAACCTTTCTTCTCCTCCTGCGTAGAATCCTCTCAATCCCAACAAATTCTTATGTCTCACCCTTCCAAGTACTTCCACTTCTACAGCAAACTCCATCTCTGCCTTTGCAGTCATAGTCTTCAAACGCTTCACCGCGATCTGCAAGTTCCATTATTAGCCATGCAAGTTTTTTGTGCATAAAAAAAAAATGTCCCATAACATAAAAGTCTATGATAAACTAAATACTCAAAAAACTATGAGGAAAAAAAGAAGAATATAATTGCCTCGACGCCTTTACTTGTTCGACCCCAATAAACACTTCCAAATCCACCCTCTCCAATCTTGTTATCTTGATGAAAACTGTTTGTTGCTCGAAGCAACTCCTTCAAGGTGTATATTTCCCATGGATAGTCCCTACTTTTGTTGTTGTTGACATTCCTACGAAAAAGAAAAGAAAAGAAAAGAAACAATAACAAAAATCAAGAGCTAGAATGGATTAATAACAATTACAATAACAAATCTGTGGACATAAAATGGATGAGTTTGATGAAAGCATACTTACTGTATTTCGTGTTGCTTTTCTTCTTCTTCAGAGAGAAAACAACAGAAACATTTCAACTGCATTTCTTTGTGGAAGGATCTCTAGGATGGTATTCAGAATCTAAATTCCCTATTGGAAAATAGATGAATAAGTAAGAAGTTTTGGAGGGGAGTGTTGAAGTTGGAACGAGAAGAAGAAGAAAGAAGAAGAGAGATTTGCAAGAAAGAAGCAAAAGTATATCGGCAAACGCAAAGAAACAAGAAGAACTAAGAGGGGCTTATAGTGAGGACAAAGGGCTGCCTTGGAAGTCAAGGACTCCAGAGGTTAAGGTGAAAATGCAAGCCAATTCAGTGAGTATTATATTATATGCCTCAAATGGTGGTATATGCTAGTGTTTGCAAGCTTTTGTCAAGCCACATCTTCCATTGGAAATGTCACACATTTATATTTATATCCCTTTTGGAGTAAACATTCTTAAGCATCTTATTTAATTACTCCTATGTAAGCTGTATAGGCAATTTAATAGACAAACTAGTTTTTAATTTTTTAAAATTTTAATCAATGGATAGTGACGCAATCATGGCCAATTCTTCTCTTATTCTGATAGAACAGTATAAAATTTGCCCATATGGAGGTATGTATAATACTAAGCTAAACATATATATATATAGATGACTAATGAAGCCTGTAAAACGCTTCTAACAAGTTGACAAATTGTCTTAATCAAAGACAACTAGCTGTAGCCCGTTCATAATAATAATAATAATAATAATAATATTATGGAATTAAAAAGGAACAATCATGAGTAATTACGCTTTTGGGACAAGTCAATGAGAATCGGGGTCCAACAAAAGGCTTTGATCAAAATTAGTTTTTAAAATATCATTGTTGTCGTCATGTCACTTTATTTTTGTTGAATATAATTGTGTTAATTTACACGATCATTAAATTAATAAGCATTGCGTCACATAAAATTATGCAATCATTTTTTGTGAAACTATTTAATTTAACACAAAAAATACTATAATTAATTTAATTTGTATTGATAAATACTTAAATATTTTAAAAAATTGAATTAAAAACAATTTTTCCTATAAATAATCTATTTGTTTAAAAAGCTACTATTTATATTAATATTCATGTCAATAATAAAAATTATTAATTATCACTTTTGAGGTTCACTCTTTTACTTTTTTTCTATTTATAAAACTCTCTTTTACTTTTATTATTGTTATTACTCATGTATTGACCGACGCTGCTAGCCTCATAATTTTTTTTTTGTTATTATAAAAAAAGTAATAATAAACACTGTTTGAAGATAAAATAAAAAGAACTCTTAAGTAACTTTTGTTTTTAATTTTGATTTGAAAAATTATAAAAGTATTTTTTATTTTAATAAAGTAATTAAACAGAAAATTACCAATGTAATTAATAAAAAATAACATTAAATAATTTTGTTTAAATAATTAATTTGTACATTTTTTAAAAAAAATTTCTTGTTCTTTCTCATACTTTCCTTCTTTCTATCATCTTATCAGTTTTTTTTTTTTTTTTTTAAATTTCTTCGAATGCTTTCAACATTTTTTACGTACAGTCTTCCGTATATGTGTGTTTCCTACTTTTACGTCGTCCATATCTTATATGTTATTGACCAAACAAGGAAGGTAAGATGTCAATTTTTTTAATAATAAAAAATAAAAGTAGTTTGTGCTAGTAATGGTATGGGGACCTCAAAACACTTTGGAAAGGATATCTCTATTAACGGGTCAAACGACAAAACATAATAAATGGGTTGATACCACATTTCAACCTAAAATCTTATGGCTGAAATTTTATAGGTCTTTTGTATTTATATGATCCTAACTTGATCTTTGTCGAGCCAATATGGGACTTCACACCACTACTCACACTTGAATATTTCCAACAATATGTAATATGTTTCCCCTCTATTTGTCCTATTTACTTGTCGCGTATCATATCACGGCTCAGGATAATAAGATGGCATTTTGGAATTGCATTTCATTTTTTTATATCAATCAAAATTATTTCTTTAAAACGAGTCAACTCATGATATTTTTAACTCTTTGAATTAGCTATGAAACTATTCTTAAATCGAGGCTTAATCACAGTTAAAATTCGTCACCTCTTTCCGGTATGTATTTGGTGAGATGCATTTCATATTATTATTATTATTTTGATATTCCACGTTCATGCATCAAACGTTTATTTTGTATAATTATTATATATATTACATTCATTAGTTTTAAAAGTATACAAATTTGACTGAAAAAGATAGTATAAATCTTATTACAATATACGGAAGATAAATAAAATTATATTAGTTATTACTTAATATTAGGTATCCAAAGTGAGTATTTCTTCAACATTAGAATTAAATACATTACATGATTAATTGCTGGCAAAAAGCTTCTTCTGTATCATATAAGTTTACGCAAATTACCATGGGCTGCATGTAACATTGGCTATGTTAGAAATGCTCGTTACATAAACAGGTAGCAAGAAGAGAAAAACGCCTGTCATTGACTTGTGAGTCAATCGGTTAGATTAATGATACAAATCAAGAGATGCGTGTATTTTTAGCTACAATGATCATGGGCTTAGCATTACACGTGTCTTACTAACAGATCATTAATTAGGATCCTATCATCCCATCTCATAATCTGGGCTTGGGCTTGTGCTGAGGTAGACTCTATCCTATGCAATACATCTATGAGGGCCGCGAAATTGATGGTCTGATTTACAAAAATAAAAAGATTGATGATCTAATTATGAAGCCCAATTTCGCATAGAAACTTGGAGAGTGATCCAAATCACATGGTCCAAATGATTGTTTTTTAACTGATCTACTAAATTAGGGTAGTTTAATCAAGGGAAAAAAAAAAAGGTCGTATTCTTTCTGGTCCCATTCATCTACACTTTCTCATTATTAGCATCTATTTATGAGTATAGGTAAAGAAACTATATAGACACTTATTACAAAAATCAATTCACTTTCTTATCGGACCAAACTTGTTCTAGTTAAGTGTGTAAAATAGACCTGAGGACTTGACTCAAATTGACTCACTTCCGCTCATAATAAGTGTTTACTCTTAACTATTTAGTAAAGAAAAGACACTCAAAAGTTAACTCATTTTAATAATTGTGACATTACTGACATACATATTCTATAGTGCTGGCAGCTTTACAAGAAAAGGAAAATACATTACAATCGCTCATTCGCTGAAGCACCTGAATTCGCACTGCCCCCCAACCAACCCAATTTGATTTTAATTAAGCTATCATTTGAGCTCCGAAAATTGCCCTTTGCGGGGCATTCCTGCTTGTTCTGCGCATGATCTTGTTATAAATTAGACGTCATACAACTAATAATATATGAAAACAAAGAGATCCTATATCAATGTATATGCATATTTATTAAAGATCCTTTGGTTAGTGGGGTTTGCCGAAGATTTGAGATCATAAATCCTCGATTTGATCGGGAGAAACACTGAATTGAGACCAACTTTAACTGTTCTTTGGCCTTTACTTTTTTTAATCTCCCCACATCTTTTCTGTTCCCCACATAGGGATCGTTGAACCTATCTCATGTTACTCACTGCATTCCATTCCGTTGGAGAGTTTAGATGAATATAAGGTTGAAAATATGAAAGTTTTACATAAATAGTTTGACCCCCCTTTCGTGTGGGCCGTAACAGAATATCAGTGTTTAAGTCCTGAATTTCTTTTAGGCCCACAACATGATTCGCCAAAACTACAATACAACGAACAAAAAGATAGAGAGTACTACTAAACGTATAAACCAAGTGATCATTAAGTGCCTCTTTGCATCATTTCTTTTTTAAGCTAGAAGTTACTTATAAGCATAAGTTAGGTCAAACAGATTTTGGGAAAAGCTCTTATAATGAAAAATTCTTTTTTTTATAATGAAGAAAAAAGTTGAAAACTAAAAGCTCCTACGAGGAGTTTTTTTTTAAGCTCTTATCTGTTTTTTTTGAATTGTGTATTTTTTTTTTAAAATGAAGAGTGATAAAGATAGAGAGAGATAATTTTCTTGAAATATGTGCTTTTAAGTAAATTTTAAGCTAAATTTTTTATGTAATTTCCAAACAGCTTTTAGCTTCTTTTTTTAAGCTCTTTTTTTATCTTTAACTTATAAGTAGCTTCTAGCTTAAAAATAAGAGGATCCAAACAGGCTCTAAGTTATTAGTTCATTATAAACGTCTATTAATACATTGTAGAGGTTAATTTAAAAACACCCACAAGAAGTAAACACAGGATTGAGGGAATTAAATCAATACCCTGGCAGTTTGACCAATCTAATCATAATTTAAACACTTAATTAGTTATGATTTAGTTTCATATATAATCTAATTGAGGCTGTTTGATCATTCTGGGATCTTTTTATTTAAAAAACACCACTTTAGGGTGTGGTGGAAATCATTTACCATTGAGGGGTGGTGAATGGCGCATCCCCTTATCCCAAAACCTTTTTTCGCTGTATTTTGAAATTAAGAAAATTGACTAATCAGATTGTGCCATGTATTTAGCCCCCTGATCTTTCCGTAATTATATTTTTTATATTATTAAATATAAATTACTTTTATAACGTCAACTAAACCTGAACCAAAAATCTTAACAATTCATTTTCAGTCCGAGTTTAAAGACATATCTCAGTTAAAGAATTTGTCCAATCTTAGGGTGTAAGAGCTGAGGATTAATGCTACGTATATTTTGGTTAACAAGTTGACGCCGAACATTTGTGCACTCCAAGTTGAGGCCACACCAACATATTTAAATCTGATATCAACTCATACTAAAAACAGAGTATATATATTATAGATTTTTAAAATGCCCTTTCATATAAAAATTTATTGAACTTATTTGGTTTTACATAGAGTACTTTAATATCATATAAAGAATTAATTCAACCCAAAAATGTAAGTTATTAAATAAATATCATATTAATAATTTTATATTATATCTTTCAAATAATATATGATAAGCTATTATATAATGAAGTTTATAATAACTACAATAAAATAAAAAAGACTTTTTTTATAACTCTTTTAAATAAAATTACAAGAATTTAGATTTATATATTCTGAAAT